TGCCAGTCTCACTTCACTCTGGCATGACTCACAACCACACAGCTCTGAACTCCTGAAGAGGAGCATCTGCACTGGGCTTCGATGAGGGTGGAAGCTGGCCTCACCTCTGGCCACCAGGAGAGCATGGGGAAAAAGAAAGAATCACACCTTTCCAGTCACCTGTGTGAATCTGCTCTGCCAGGCCACCTTCTGCTCACAAAAGTTCAAGATGGTCACACCAAATCTGGTCCATTGTTCACCAGTTAGTTATTCTTCTCACTCACTGTCCCTGCTCAGCTTCTCCTCCCACCAAGCACTCACTTCAGTTCTCTAACATTTCCTCTGAAGTTCACGGTTCCAAGATTTTCATCTGTGTCTGTTTTATTTGGTCTCTCATATCTTTGCTGTGGAGGGTCTGTGTAGTGTCTAACATTAATCTTTTGAAGAAATACATATTGGGAAACAAATGTAGAAAAAGAAAAGCTTATAAATCAAAACTGTTTAAAGGAAAAGTCAACATTATGCAGTCTTAATCATGATGACCAACATTCATCTGTCAGTATGTTGTCTTGTGGTGGCTTTTGTGTTGCTGTGATACTTGAAGCTATGCCACCTGTATTTTAAATATAGGCAGAGTTGCCCATGGTGGAGAGATTCCAGCAGAGTATCCAGACTAAGACAGACCACCTCTGAATTGTTAGCCACTGAAAATCATATGAAGAGCCCCAGAACACTGTCTGGTAAAGTACTGAAAGATGAGTCCTCAGGTTGGAAGGCATTCAATATAAAATTGATGAAGAGCTGCCTCTTCAGAGTAGAATTGACCTTAAGGATGGGATTGGAACAAAACTTTGAGGACACTCATTTGCTGATGTGGCACAATTCAAAATGAGAAGAAACAGCTGGAAATTGCCATTAATAATTTGAACATGGAATGAGTGAAGTATGAATCTAGAAAATTAGAAGTCATCAAAAATGAACTGGAATGCATAGATTGATACCCTATGCATTGTTGATATTGTTGTTCAATGCCATTGAGTCAGTTCTGATTCATGGCAAGTCTGCATAAGGTTTCCAAGGAGCAGCTGGTGGGTTTGAACTGCTACCTTGCTATTAGCAGGCCAGTGCTTAGCCTATAGCACCATTCCAGCACCCATTCCTAGGTATAAGTGAGCTGAAATTTAATAGTATTGGTCATTTTTAATCTGATGATTATGTGGTTTATCATGCCAAAAATGATAAACTGGAGAAGAATGGTGCGGCCTTCATTGTCAAAAACAGCATGTCAGTTACTCCCCTGAAGGACACCATGCTTGGTGATCAGGACAAAGCGTCACCATCAGAAAAGCTAAGTTTGTAGAGTAAGGATCAGAAGATCTGATACTGTTTACAGAACTGTCCCTCATTTCAGAATCTTGGATATCCACTTCATCCTTCCAGACTGTCCCTGAAAATCTTTTTAAGATTCCATCTGAGAAAACACTAGGAGTTCTTGGAAGGGGAAGAAGGAAGAAGCTTATTGGCTGGAATAAAAACAGGGTTGAATGAGTTCCAGAAAGCAGCGTTCCACCAGACAACAATTTGCAGAAGAAGACAACTTCAAAAACCTAACTAGAAGCAACATACAGAGAAGTAAGATGAGAGGGGCCTCCTCTGGAAAGAAGAAAGCTGGGCCGCAGCAGAAAAATTTGGAGCCAGCTCTTCCAGGTAGATGGGGGGATGAGGGGTCGCCCTACTGAGAATCCCCCTTCAGGATCTGTGAAAAAGACAAGGAAGAACAAACGAAAGAGTCCTGGCAATGGAGATGGTGGAAGGTGGAAGTACCAGTGAATCATATCAGCCACCTCAGAAGAAAAGGGCCCGGGCTGATCCTACTGTTGAAAGTGAGGAGGCATTTAAGAATAGAGTGGAGGTTAAAGTGAAGATTCCTGAAGAATTAAACCCCTGGCTCCTTGAGGACTGGGACTTTGTTATCAGGCAGAAGCAGCTGTTTGAGCTCCCAGCTAAGAAAAATGTCGATGCCATTCTGGAAAAGTATGCAAAAAATCTTCCTTTAAGAGATCAAAAGGAAGTGTCGACAATAAGGAATATGCTGTTAATGAAGTTGTGGCAGGGATAAAAGAATACTTCAACATGATGTTGGGCACTCGCAGCTCTACCAATTCTAAAGGCCCCAGTGTGCTGAAATCCTCATGGCCTACCCTGATGCGCCGATGGCCCCGGTTTATGGAGCGCCACACCTACTGAGATTATTTGTGAGAATTGGAGTAATGTTGGCCTATATGCCACTGGATTAGAAGAATCTTGCATTATTATTAGGCTATTTGCATGATTTTCTGAATTATCTGGCAAAGAATTTGCAGCCCTGTTTACTGCCAGTGATTACAAAGTGGCTTCAGCTGAGTACCATCGCAAAGCCCTGTGAGGGTCCACCGACCTCTCACAGTTAACGTCTGGGTATCTGTAAACACTTTTCTTTTTGTTCTTAGTCTTTTTCTTGTATAATTGATGTTCTCGAAAATTGTTAATATTATCACATTTGTTTTCTGTTTGTGTCAAACAGAAAATAAAAGGAGAGTGTAAGCTCCCTTCCCCATTTCAAAGTTGCTACCAGTGTATGTAGTAATTAGACAAAGAAGAAACATTCAGTAGAACAATTCTTGCCTAGTTGGCAACATTGCTTGAATGCTGGTGGTTCTATCCCTTTGACACTACACAATTTTCTAATATGTGTTAATGCTACATGACAAAATGCCCTGATTCCTAATGCCAAAGGTTCAACTTAATGTATATACCTGAAAACCCATACATTTGTGCTCTCTCTCTCTCTCTCTCTTTTTGTTTTTTGATGGTGCTTGAAGTAAAACAGCCCATCCTCTGCAAGTCATCTATTTTGTTCCTTAGGCATTCTATCTTCGCTCAAGTTGTTGAAGGATGGTGATTTTTCCATTTTGTATTTGAGTCTAATACACATTCTAACGTGATAGAGGCAATGCATTGTGTAGCCACAGTTTTCTGAAAAGTTGATATTTTAGGAATTGTATTTCAGATCTTAAATAAAATTTGTTTCTAAATTTCTAAGAAAAAAAAGCATGTCAAAATCTATCTTGAAATATAATAATATCCATATACCTACAGGGAAGTCCTGGTGTGACGCTGTGGGTTAATGCGTCAGACTGCAAAGCCATTTGAACTGCAAGGTTGGCGGTTCAAGCTCACCAGCTACTCCTCGGAAACCCTGTACAGGGTTGCTATGGGCCGGAACCGACTTGACGGCACTTAACAACAACAATAACAGGGAAGTCAGTTAATACCACTATTATTACCAATTACGTACAAACCATGAAACCCAGTGATAATGAAATTAAAGAAATCTACCAACTTCTTCAGGCTGACATTGATCAAACATGCAATTAGATGCACTGATTTTTATACTGGTTATTGGAATGTGAAAGTTGGAAACAAAGAAACAGGATCAGTAGTTGGAAAATATGCTCTTGATGATAGAAACAATGCTAGAGATCACACTATAGAACTTTGCAAGATCAACAGATTATTCATTGCAAATACCTCTTTTAAACAACATAAAGGCAACTATGCATGTGGACCCAACCAGAAGAATATTGTGTTGCTATTAGTTATTAATAACTGTCAAGTTGGTTCCAACTCATAGCAAACCTGCACAGGATTTCTGAGGAGCAGCCAACCTTGTAGTTTAAACTGGCCTTGTAATCCAGCGAATATACAGGAATAAAATTGACTATATCCATGGGAAGAGACCACAGAGAACTCAAGAGTACCCACCAAATCAAGATCAGGGACTGGCAGTGGGACAGAACATAAACAGCTCATATGCAAGTTCAAGGAAGCTGAAAAAAATTAAAACACGTTCATGAGAATCAACATATGATCTTGAATATATCCCAGCTGAATTTAGAGATCATCTCAAAAATATATTTGATGCATTAGACACTAATGACTGAAAACCAAAAGAGTTGTGGGATTACATCATGAACAACATACACAAAGAAAGCCAAAGTTATTTAAAAGACAGAAAGAAAAATGGATGTCAGAAGAGGCATCTTGAACATTGGTTGACTGTGTGCCTTGGAGTCAGTTCTAACTCATTGTGACCCTGTATAGGATTTCTAAGACAGTTAATCTTTATGAGAGCAGAAAACCACATGTTTCTCCCAAAAAGTGACTGGTAGATTTGAATTGCTGATCTTGCGGTCAGTAGCTCAGCTCATAACCAACTATGCTACCAAGGCTCATAAAGCAACAGAAAGAAATGATCATGTAAAAGTGCTGAACAGAAAATTTCCCAGGGCAACTGGAAAAGACAAAGTAAAGTGTTATAACTAAATGTGCAAGGACCTAGAATTAGAAAGAAAAAAAGTGAAGAACATGCTCAGAATTTCTCAAGCTGAAGAAACTGAAAAACAAACTGAAACCTCAAGTTGTAGTATTGAAGGATTCTATGAGCCTGGTATGGCACTGTGGGTTGATCACTGGACTGCAAAGTCAGTTTGAACCTCAAGGCCAGAAGTTCAAACTCACTAGTCAATCCTTGGAAATCCTGTAGTGGGCCTCTATGGGTCAGAACTGACTATACAAACAACAACAATACCTTGAGCCAAGTTTTGAATGATGCAAGAAGCATCAAAAGAAGATGGAAAGAATACACTGAGTCACTGTACCAAAGAGAATTGGTTGATGTTCAACCATTTCAAAAGGTAGCATATGATCAATGACAGACGGCATTGAAGGAAGAAGTTCAAGTTTCACTCCAGACAATGGCAAAAAAAAACATGGCTCCAGGAACTGATGGAATACAAATTGAAGTATCTCAACAAACTAATGCCGTTCTGGAGTGTGCTCACTATCCTGGGGTTGATATGAATGGAAACTGACCTGAGAACACTTAACAACAACAATCATGATGAAATAAGTCTGTTGACCTACATGCATTTAATGGATCTGGCTTAAAACGAGATAAACTGATTTTAAAGCATATCTGCTCACAAAAGTGCAGAGAGTGGTGATTCTTCTACTCCTAAATTTATCTTGCTCCACTTGTGCCTTGATTTGTCAGAATAGCAGGATTTAGAAGACTGTGCAGATCCAGGACTCTGAGATTGGGGAGATGCCCTCCGCCGGAGGTTCCGGGAAATGGCCCTCTGAAGATTCTTCCTGGAAGATCCTGTTGCCATGGTGAGCACCCACGGGTGATCCAGGGCTTGTCCAGCTGACATGCGATGACTAGCATCCAGAAGGAGTAGTTTGTCTATAAAATCCTTCGCCAACTGGGAAACACTTGGCCAAGGCTGAGGAAAAATACATTTAAAATTTAAAAAGAGACATACTATATATACACAAAGAGAAAAACATAGCGAATTATATTCTTAATTCTACAGATCAATCCATAATAAATCTAAAACATTGTTTCAAATAAGCGATTTGAACATTATGCCATTAAAATACATAATTAAAATCCAAAGAATGCAGTCAACATCACTGAACTGTACACATAGAAACAGTTGAATTGGTATATGTTTTGCTGTGTATATTCTAAACAACAACGATATATATGTATGGAGTTGAGGATGTTTGTTACTGACTAGTAAATTCTGGCTCATAGAGACCCCATTTGTGCTGAGTAGAATAAACTCATAGAGTTTTCAAGACTGTGACCTTTCTAAAGCATATAGCCAGGTTCATCTTTCAAAGTGCCACTGGGAGGAGAACAAACAAGATGGCGGATCAGGTGGACTTATAGCAGAGAGCTCCGCCAACAACA